CGGCACACACGTTGCCGGCCTTTTGGGAATAAATAAGGGTTTTGGATATTTAAGGATTGGGACGGAATGGGGAGACGGGGAAGGATTGAGCCTTCAGTAACCTCAATCATACGGCAAAACTCAAAGTTGTGTTTCACGCCAGTTTCCATCCTTAAAATGGTGCGTCGCTTTCTTTCGAGACAAAACATGTTACGCTACATAAGTGTGTCTTTAACGTAAGGCAATCTCTCAAGTTACTAGTCAGTATGAATATGAAGTACTAATTACTATAGAAATTGTGATAATTTTCTCTTGAACTGGTATGAAGGTTAAAGGTCCAAGAAAACACGTGTAGCTGAACAACAAGTCTTTCAAATGTAAACGCATGAATATAGTTTTATTATTGTTAACAATATTATCGTATTTCCACAATGTATCTATTAACTAAGTATTTCCTCTAGTTCTTATCTGGTCTAGATCTAGAAGCGTAGATTTTTCTATTTTGATACATAGTTGTATTCAGCGATGGGAATCCAAGGCCGCTCCCTGATGCTTTAGAACGAAAATAAGAATGAACGTTATCGAATTTCCGATCTAGATTGTACTGAAATAGACAAATAGGTTGAGTTACATTCACGTGTAGTTTAACGTGGTTTCAATACTATGTATGTTGGATATTAAGCCTTCAAATTAACATCACAGTACACTTTTTGTGCTAACAATGTAGTTAATAAAAGATTTACATATAACAAAGTTGCGTATTTTTCAGTTCCTAATTGAGTATTGAGCTTAGTGGTAAAGTTCAAGTACTACAAAGTTACGACAAACAAATCTGTTATTCTTTTCTAATTGCTTTACGTACTTATTTTAGATGTTTACATCATTCGTGCATACTTTGAGAGCAACAATAAAAGACTTGAATTAGAATTGTTTATTATCCACCTTATTAAATAGGCGTCTCATTTCAGTATATATGCATGTTTTTGTGTTTGGATAACCTAAAAGTTGAAGTTTTCAATTTTCGAATGCTCAACTGTTTGAGGAAATAAGAGGTAACTTATTTATAAATTCACTGAGAAACAAAGTAGGTCTTTAGGTACCTATTTCAATTATTGTTTATTTATTTGGTATCAGAGTTATTTTAAATGCCTTCAAATGGTGAACCTAATTGTAAATTGTGGAAGTGACATCAGTATCTTATCGGGAATGACGAATAATTGCTTGTACGTGATTTTTGATTAAGGAAAACGAGGAGTCGAGACATTGACCCTTGTTTCAACAAGGTTACTGATTGTATACACTGTGATAACAGCTTCTGTTAAGAGTAATCTCTAATCATGCCTATTTGCTCTTAGAACGGACTCACTGTTCATTTATTGATGAGATCGTGATGACAGGGATGAGTCTATCTAGGTATAAATTCATTCCTGTAGATTCTTGTAAGTACAGTACCTGGTTTTCGCGCTAAAGCTAACAGTGGGTTTGGAAATAGATTATTATTATAATTATCAAGGAACAGTTTTGTTTCTCTAGTAGATATCATTATCGTCATCTAGTTTCATCGCTGAGAAGAAACGGGTTGGTTTTCAGTCAGTAAGAGTCTGATAATACCTCTCCTTCCTGATTTAGTTTTTTTAAGTACGGTTTTTTTAGTGAGGTGAAAATTATGATTTAATGTGTAAGTTAATGACTTAAAACCTCCCCGTTTCTTCTATTGCTCTAGGCTGAACATCAGGCCTATAGGGCCCCGTCTGTGGTGGTCTATTGGTTCTTTAAGGTTGGAAAATCCTCATGGAGACCCATCGCCCTCGGGGAAGACTCTTACTGACTAAAAACCAACCCGGTGTTCCTCTTACCCATGTGTCGTAGGGGTCCTGCGGCCGTAACACCGACCGCAGAACTCAGCTGTGAGGCGCGCGCGGAACACGGCGCCGCCGCCTCGAGGCCTGCAGTGTGATTCTGTAAGACTTCATTCTAAACTTCGAATCTGAATTCACCGTGAGTAGTAGTACACTAGCGCTACACTTGCGAGTTGAACTAAATTGACAGCAACATTGTGATAGATAAAGTATGAGATGACGTTAAAAGTGGCATTCTAAAATTTAATTTCCCCGTCACTTCGACGCTCACTTCGCACTCGAACACGATTCGAAATCAAACAAATTTTATAGAATCGACGTGCAGCTGCTGGTCGGACGACAAGACGCCCCGAGTCTGTCGTCCGCAGGCCGCGCCCTACGGTGGCCGCAGGTCGGCACCCTTAAGTACCTACTTGCCGTCCGCAGAATTGTGCTTACATTATTTTGCTTGTTTCATCACTTTATCTGGATAGATAGCTACTATTTGATTGATTGGAATATAGCAAATTAGAACGTAAATTGTATAACATAGTTTGCGACATAACTTTTTCGGTTACATTTTTTATTTATAATTTTATTTCTATGTTAGGCCCTTTCCTTGACCAATAATTCATCAAATGTTTTCTCCAGGGGCGCGGTGAAATGGAGTGTCTGGCACTGACTAAAAACGACCCCGATCTTCTGCTTTGGGCTGGGGATATTAAGGGCGGACATCTGCCTAGTGGAACCCATTCAAGCGTGACTCCGTCGCAGAAATAAATCAAGCCGCATCCTGCCTTGGTCTAAACCACGGTGCGAAGCAGAGGTCGCCGCTGCTGATCCCTTCCCTGAGGACACGGCCGTGCTTAGCCCAAGCGGGGCACATCGTTTGCTCCAATGGGTCCTTCAAGTGGTTCTCATAGTGAATACACCAGGACGTTTCCTCCCACTGGATCTGTTACAGTTACTTCCCGAAACTTCCATGTTCGGTAAGCTCCAGCGTCAGTCAGGCAGTCGCTTTAGCTACTCCTTAAAGAGGTGTCTTACCTCCGCGTGGCTTCCACTCCGTCATAAAATTGCGTCGGAGCTAGTTCGGCCACACACTAGAAAAGTAAGCGCAGTAGGTGAGACAGGCCCAGGTTGTAAGGGATTCCACTATCAGCCATCTGGGGTGGATCTATCTATCCACGCATAAATGAAGGAATAGAAGAACAAATCTATATCTATCTTATCTAACTGTATCACAAGTCACAAGTTATATATTTTTTTACCGCCACCCGTAGTTATCCATCAGAAGATAATTTTTATTTTTATTTTAGACAACTACTTTACTCGTATTTGCGTAGCTAATGAAATATTAGCGATTACCTACCTACATAATTTTATTGAAACTCAATCTAGGTACCTACTAAATGTTAATAAATGTTAATGTAAAGTTTTTTTTTTTCTGCTTTTTTTTTTGTGAGGGGAAAATCATGAAATGACTTCTCCCGCCCAGGGATGGGCGGGAGGGAGTGTCAGACTCTTACTGACTAAAAACCCAGGGGGGTTTTTAGTCAGTAAGAGTCAGACACTTCCTTCTCCTGTTCTGGGCCGAGGTCGCGGTGCCTCATTGACCCCGCAACCCCGGCTGAACATCAGCCCTTTAGGGCCCCGTCTGTGGTGGTCTAATGGCTCTTTGAGGCGCGCGCGAAACGCTACGCGCCGTACGCTCGGGCCTGGTTCTGGTCGGGCGGCGAGCTGCCCTTACTCGCCGACCGCAGGCCCGTACTTACGGTGGCCGTAGATCGTCCCTTGATCCCCGACGCCCGTAGTGTCGCGAGTTGCGGCTGCTGGGGCGTGAGGAGGAGGATTGCTCCCTCATGCGGGCTGCCTCTCTCTTTGCGAGCATGACTGCTTCACAAAAGGAGGAGACGGCGTCCCAGTTCCTTTCACTCCGCACCATGGCCTCGACTAAGGCCGGGCGCGAGAGGTCGCCGCCGCCGATCACTTCCCTGAGGATACGGCGGTGCTCAGCCCAGGCAGGGCATACCGCTACCGTATGCTCCACCGTATCCTCTAGGTGGTCCTCACAATGACGACACTCGGGCGTTTCCTCCCGCTGGATCCGAAACAGGAACCTACCGAAGCTGCCGTACCCGGTAAGCACCTGCGTCAGGCAGAAGGTGAGGACGCCGTGGCGTCTCTCAAGCCACTCCTCAAAGAGGGGTCTTACCGCAGCTATAGTAGCGTGCCCGGCCCTCGGTTGCGATAGTCACTGCTTCCACTCAGCCATGAGATCTCGCCGGAACTCATTCCGCCACGCACTAATTTGGCGCGGCATAGGATAAGTACAATACAGGTACAATATCTATTTAACATGTAAACACGTACTTACATACACTTTTTATTTATTTATTTATTTATTAAACACATTAGGTACATTGGACTTATAAAATAAAAATATTTTAATTACTCATTTTAATCGCGTTTGAAACGATACGACACTACGTAAGCTTCTTTACATCATAATATTAGATTTAGTTTTTATACTTTGGAAGGACAAGGACGCACTTCAAATCACAATTTATATGCACCTACCTTTTTTTGAGGCAAAATTATTTCTAGCCGGGGTTGCGAGTCAAGCGCAATAAGGTACCGTGCCTCGGCCTAGAGCAGGAGAAGGAACGGAGGGTTTTTAGTCAGTAAGAGTCTGACTCTAACCATACTCTGGGCGAGAGAAGACATTTGATGATTTTGCCTCCACAAAAAAGCCCTTACTACTTAATTAAAATAAAAACTACTCCTTTCTCTCTTCTGTTCCAGGCTGGGGCCGCGGTATGTTAGTGCGCTTGCACTTGAATCCCGGCTGAAGCTTGTATGTACGATAGCGCAAGTTTTAGCAAATAAGAATCTATGAACCCGATTATTCTTTCCTATCCGCTATTTATATACCTACCTCTATTTACTTGCCCAATACCTAGGTCTGTCGACCATATCTCGGCAACAATGATTAACATTTTTATACAACGATAAGATACCGATTTAAGGAACAAATCACGGCTACACTCAATTAGGTACCATAAAACAATAATTGATACAATAAAAATATAAAAATTGATTTGCAAAAGCCATAAATTATAAAAAAACACTTTAGTAGCTAGATAGAGCTTCGATCGTCATGTGTTAGATAATTCTAAACTACTTACTAAAAGAGAAATTGGTTTCCATTAATCTGTTAATTATATCAGCTGATGTAATCAACAATAGATTTCGCTATTATAATTATAATATTCAAAGAGAAAATGATCTCACACGTTTTGTTTTAGAACGAAACAACACATGTTTTTACAAATTTTCAATAACAGTCGAATATATCGATAGGTTCGTAACGTGATCGGTGTACCTATAGCTATTATCAATTGATTGTGCCTAAAGATAATTTGTAAACAGTGGGTTGTTTAACACAATAATTAGTACGGCTGCCGTCGCGAATGAAAATACATTCAGTGCTGAAGACAATCAACAAAGCTGTTATGGATTTTCCTCGTGCCGGAATGTTTGACGCTATTCAGTTTCCACACACTATCTTGGAGTGTCTTGTACTAGTGTCGAAATCAATTGGACGTTACAGTGATATAATTTTGTGATATTCGGTGATAGTGCTATAATATACATTTGTTTTTACTATTCATTATGTTATTCGAGTGCAGAAAGGGTGACTTATGGAAATTATGCAAGAACGTCATTTAATATTTAGTTTATTTAATTATATCACATGGATTTCCATTCTACATGGATCGCAGGTCAGTTTTCTTTTCAGATAAATTTTCATGAAGCGGGTGTTTCAATGATAAGACGCAAATAGATTTGGTAACTACCATTCAATTGGCAGTTATTTAGAAAAAAATGGAAGGTAACACAGCGATCAAACCCCATGCGGAATATCTGAATAATGGTTGCCGTGACTTGCTTACTACGCATAAATAAACTTACCATAACGACCCCCTTAATTTACTTTATATAAAGTTCATAATTAAGTAGGTACTTGATGTAGTTTAAGCTTAGTTTAGTTTAGGTTCGACAGTGAAATAAATTAACTAGATACATTTTAGTTTATTGATTTTACGAAACCTATAAATGAATATCTTTTCTTATACTTGTAGCTAATTTCCATGCCACAAAAACCATAGGATACTAACGATTGTCACTATTAAAAACACAAAGATGTTAATTTGAATTTGTACCAATTTCAGCGTTTTCTTTTTCAACTTAACACATTAATGAACTTGAAAACGCACCATGGTCTAAAAATATATTCAAATCCCCTTTGTCGCACCCGAATAAATATAGCGACGTATAATTAAAATCGAACTGATTAAGTAAATTGGTATTGTCATTATTTTAAGTGCTTACACGAATAATTGATTGTTTTTTTAATTTAAAACCCGCGAAATGTGATAAGATACCTAATTACAAATGTATTAAATTAATATCTAATAATTACGATTTTCATCTGTCACCGAATGTATCAAGATTTTAATGTACCTACCTACCCACTTAATTCTTGAGTAAATATCTTTATATTTGTTTTTAGAAATTATCGATTCTAGAAAAGTTTCTTCCCAGCTTATACCTAAGTCTCTTTACGGAGTTGTTTTCCTTTCTGGTCACCACAAAAGCACCACTCCTTAATTGAGCTACGAACGTTAATGTTTATTAAAAAAAAAACAATGACGTATCAACAACCTTATCGGAGTAGACAGCTATTCACTCCCGGTGTAGTAAATCAATAAAGGACATGAACGATTAAAACCAGACGATCTTAATTACATCGACCCCATTTTGGATTCCGACAGATAGAATAAAAACTCCTTCAATCGCATTGTCTTTACTTTAACAATCATTATCACTTAAAAGTTGCATTGATAAAGTACCTATTTCTGTTTGCAACACTGATTTTGATTTCTAATAAACAATGATAAAATGGCGGAAAAATGGTGACTACTTTTTTTTTCTTGTAACTGACGTACCTAAAGCCCCCTGTGATAATTTGTAGGTACTCTATGAACTAAATTTTTGTAAATCCATGTAATGTAAGGATAATAAATTAGTGACAAATTAATACATATTTGGTACAACCTGCAAGCCAAGCATGGAACTTGTGGAGGAGGAACTCATAGGACTGTTTTGTTGATGATAAATCATTGAATAATTTTATCGAGTAAATTTTTTTATAAATTCTACAAAATAGAAAGTTTTAGGAATGGTGGGTACTTGTGAATCTATAAATGGATACCTAAATCCTTTTTATTGAAAACGTTGACACGAAATAAGTGATTATTCCAACCTTATATTCCATCTTATATAAGTGTGGGAGAGCCATTTTTCGGCACGAATGGGCCGGCTCGACTACGACGGCCTCAAAAAAAAAAAACCGGCGTGAAACTACTACCTACAGCGTTGAGTTTCGCCGTGTGATTGAGGTTACCGAAGGCCCAATCCTTCCCCTCCCCCAATCCTTGAATCTAAAAATCCCTAGTCCCCAAAAGGTCTGCAACGCACTCGTACTCCTCTGTTGTTGCGGGTGTCCTTGGGCGGCGCTGATTGCTTACCATCAGGTAATCCGTCTGCTCGTTTGCCGACCTATCACAAAAAACTCTGTATAACTTTTTTGAAAGAACTTTGTATTGTCTTTGGACTTGTACCTAATCAGCTTGGCCGACTGCAGGTCTTGATTGTTTATATAATACATGTAATAATAAGCGGCTCACTGTCTACTCCATAACAAACGAAAAGCGACTACTAACCTACTTTACTGCTTCTGTTTGATGTTTGGGAAAATATTTTCTCGTGGCCTTTTTATAATAATAACTAGCCTGGGAAAGGCATCGAATTAGGCTAGATATAAGCTATGTCGTATTTTAATCAGTCCTGTCATATTTGGTCATTAAAAAAGAGGAGTTAAGTAACGAACTTTCGAGAAGAGAACGAACTCCTTCTTAAAAGATTGGCAACTGACTTGTCTTCCCTTGCGTGGTGTGCGTGTATACAAATGCGGCGCTGCTTTATATTGAACCATTATTGTTGCAATGTATATCCTTTGCTTGTCCATATAATATAAGATCTTGACGAAAATGAAACAATTTACGTTTTGTATATATAGTACATATTATCACGGGCGGCATCGATTGCACACAAAGGTTATCCGACGTTTACCACCTTATCCTAAATATGTTATTATTATATTTATAACACTACAATAACACAATTTTAGACCTTCGGGTGTGTGAGCTGAGGCACATAATCAATTAATTATTCATTGTAGGTGGAAGCCCACCTCAAAGATGTCCTGAATCCTGTGAACACAGATTTCAATGTGTGGCACCAACGCGACACAAGGGTCGCGATCCGCTCTAATACACAGCTTGCCTGTGAGAGGCCTAATATTTATATTTGTGAGGTAAGTCCTTTCCATAATAACAACCTTTAAACTTCACGGTTTTATGAGGTAAGAGTGTTTTTACGTACTGATTTTACGAGCAACTAGAAGTTTATTAGCTCATCTTCATCCGCGTCGAAATTCTCGTTCCTTATCCTCCATTTTATTTGGGTTGGAGTAGTCTGTAGACTCCTAACCTCATACGAGGAAGAGAAGTTGTATTTCGCAAAGATAGGAAAGCCAAAATAAAAATTATTTTGTATTTATCTTCCCAAATAAGACATATGTACATCATTAAATTATAAGCTTTTTAGCTACGCTCACGCGGTTTCACCCGCTTTTCAGCTCCATTTGATCGTAGCGTAATTTTTATAGCCTATAGCACTTAGAAACATTGTAGCCATCAGTGAAAGAATTTTGGCAATCCAGCGGTTCCAAAGATTAGCCCCTACATACAAACTTACAAACATACAAACTTGTACCTTTTTATAATATTAGTATCGAAGTATAGATTATCTTCATAGGTATCTTTCACTATTTTGTATCTTGTCGATTTTTGTCAAACTTTTAGGAGCCGCCAGAAACTGTTCCTCCAGATGCAAGAAAGACCTGCAATTACCGCAATGTGCGTTACCACGAGCAGGTGTTCCGATGGGTGGCTGGACGAGGATGCCTGTTATATACTCCAGATTTTCTCTACGTTGGAGGAGTCAACAATTTCAACCTGAACGCTGGCTGCTTTTATGGAAACTGGTTTGCACCATGCTTGGAAATTGTTAGTTCATATTATTATTTATTGAACAAATATTAATTTAGCAAAATATGTATATGCTTACCTTATGTGGAATGTACTGCCTTTAGTTCGCAATTGAAATTGTAGATAAACCTACTCTTCGCAATAGGGACTACTTCTTAGATAGTTCTCACTTTTATGTTATTCTATCGATTGATTTTCTCAATTGAGAAGAAATTTAACACCACAGTAGAGTCTACTTTATATTGCGGGTTGTTCGCTTTATGATTGACAGACTTTCCTTAGAAATAACAGTGAGTTTTATAACAGCAAAAACAGTACATTTGCTTCAAAATGTTAGCTGTTTCATAAAAGTACTCTGGGTCCCACAATTTTATTTGTCAAATCAAACACAGTGAGTAGTAATTGTATATAGATAGCTATCTAATAAAATAATACTATATTTACGTAATGGTACTTACTGTTGTATTATATTAGAAATTAGATTAACTATCAAATAAGTTTTCCATTTCACGATCCATCGTGTAACAGCGAATGTATTGATGAGTATCAGTGCGATAGCCGATCATTAGTAGAGATATAAACTAGAGATAAGTTCCCGAACATTTAACGATATCTTGATAGTATTATAGCCTTGTACCCGAAACAGAGTTACTTGAGGTTTTGCGGTAGTTAAGACATCATGTTAATATTGCCTGTATTTACGATCTGTGTGATAGCTTTGACTCCTGTGTGACAAGCTTGCGACTAAGTAGCCGTAAGTAGTATCATTCTTTGCGTCCCTTGTAAATTATTTCCAAACAAAATACATTGACAGTAACTTCATAAAATCAAAATAAGCTTTATATTGTCCTGTGTTTCCGTAAAGTGCTTGTACACTCAATCCACAATACTGTTTTCTTCACGCATTATGCATCTTTAAAAAAAAACCTTATTTTTGGAGAAGGTAAAATCATCAAATATCTTTTCCAGCCGTGGATAGAGCTAGAAGTTCCAGACTCTGACTGACCCTCACTTTATTTTCCTTGTAAATAATTTGGACAATTTTTTAATTTTGTGTAATAGTGCCTTCTTGAAGGGTTTTTTCTTCTTGAACGTCATTTATTTTGCCACCGGGATACGGAACATTCGCTAGATAATTAAAAACCATTAGAATTATTTTTAGCTGCAATTTAAGTTTAACCTTGTACCTCGGGATATTGTTTATTAATTTTATAAGTTAAGTTAATTATATTTTTTGTCTCCATAAGTTTGCTCGAGCATATTGTTTTTGCAGGCTAAAGAAGATGGTTCATGTGGCTGCTATCCCTTCGATCCAGGTTTGGAGGAAGTGGCCGCGGCAGTCCACGAAGCATTGATCCCAGCAGCACAAGGGAGATGGGAGCGATGCTTCTACGCAGCAACCGATTGCTGTAGTCATTACATGCCCGACAATCTTAATACTACTACAAGTAAATTTTTATACTTATGCATTTTCGTTTTGAACTTTAAAGACACAAAATTGAAATTTGAATTTCGAAAATATATTTTTTATAGAATTTTACAAATTCTTCTCTTTACGGCTCAATTCTTGAGAAATTCTGGACACTAAGACCATTTAGTTGCAGATTCGAAATTCGTGTTTTAGGTAAACTATGTAGAAACAACTTGCATGGAATTGTATTACATTGATGATAATAGGTATACTAAGTAATATTTAGTTAAACATGTTTTGCTCGAAACCATTTATGCAAGTGTTTTAATTGCATGAAGATGGGATATTCTTACTCGATATGTATTTTTTGTATTAAGCCTTTATATTCTCTTTTGCATAGAAATAATCATCTTCACTTTTAGATCGCAATCAATGTGAGCCAACCTTTGATGGATGGACCTGCTGGCCAGAAGCTGCAGTTGGAACTGTAGCTACAGAAGTCTGCTCAGAATTCGCCTACTCCAACAGTGGACCCTCGTGTCATCGTAAGTGCCTATCTAATTAACATTTAATGTGTACAAGTTTAGTTATAAACTGTTCCGCTTCATTAATATTGTGGTTTTGTGATTTTGATATTGAATTTCGATATGTATTTCTCTTATCGATATTGCCATTCATTTAGGTAGCTACTATATCACACACAAATAATAATTATTGTATGAATATCAAGCTGATGTCAGAACTGGTGAATACGCCCTCAACCCTAATACCCTTCTCCTTTCTCCAAAAATATACATTTAGATAACCTCAAAAAAGCTTTAGTTATATTTTTTCTATTTATCTTCGTGGATCGCTTGTGCACTACATCTACACACAATATTGTATTGTTTACTTCACGCAATATGCACCCTTAAGGAAAACCCCTTTTCAGTGGGGGTAAAATCATCAAATTCCTTTTCCCGCCCTGGGTGAAGCGAGAGGGAGTGTCAGACTAATATCTACTGACCAAAAAAAAATTATTATTAAAACAACAAAATACCCGACTGCACACTAAAAAAAGAGTAAAACAAGCCCCACAATACAAATTTACTGAATATATTTTATAAATGTTGATGAAAAGCATCGCAGGCGGGGACCAACAGAGGCTTATTTATAGTCATTTCACCATTTAGCAGAATTTTCGTTGGTGGCGGTCAAGGTGGTCCCCGCCTGCGATGCTTTCCATCAACATTTATAAATTATATTCAGTAAATTTGTATTGTGGGGCTTGTTTTACTCTTTTTTTAGTGTGCAGTCGGGTATTTTGTTTTTTTAATAATAATTTTTTTATTTATAACTTTTTAGCTGTTTTTATTTAACGAAAATGTTGTAGATGTAGAAGACTATGTATATGTAAGTACCATTTTAAATTATTTCGACGACATTTGGCTTTAGATTACGAGTGATGTTACTCCGCAACATAAATTTACCGCCAATCTGGACTGTTGGTAGTGAAGAAGAAAATTTAGAAAAAATATTATTATGTCTTTATCCCGTGGGACTTTTAGGATAAAATATATCCTATGACACTCCCGTAATCAAGACAAATCTAACGATACCTCATACATCAAAATCCATCAAGCCGTTTAGGCTACAGGAGGTCACAAAGGAAAAGACATACATACATACTTACATACACTCGAAAAACATTACCCTCCTTCTTTGGCAGTCGGGTAAAAATATCTATTTGCCCGTTCTGGAGACTCCTGGACGTGGCCGCAGTACTCTATTGCGCTTGCGCACGCAACCTCTGCTGGAAGGAATACGGTTGAAGAAGCAATGAAGTGTATAAAAAATAGTCAAAAAGCTTCATTTTATTGCGCTTAGCAGGAGAGAATTCATAATTGATTTTTTAAGGCGTGGCTATAATAATTTCACCTTCATTTTTCATTATCTCATCAAGATACCGTTGGGGATTTTCGTAATGCACGTTTGTTGCAGCGTATACATACTATATGTACGTTTTTGTTTTGTTTTTAATTTTTTTATACTTATATTTTTATTGTGTTTTGAAAGACTGACGGTCCGTTTCGAATCATCCACATCTATTTAAATATCTGGTACGTAATGTAATGAATGTGGTTAAACAAAACTTGTCCCGTGACTGTGATATAATCCATACATAATGTGATTTAAGAGGAAGGTTCAGATACACAATAGCATCCATTAAATATCGGAGAAATTGAGTATCAGCATTACAACCATGCGAAGCCAGAGCGGGACGCTAGTGCTTAATACCATCTTTTTCTGACTGAAAATCTACGTCAACGTTCACATTTGCATCTAGGTCTACTAAGCTTAGCGTCCCTCACAAACCACGTCTATTTCAGACTACAGCAGCAAGCAATGCCATAGGAATGCGACCTGGGAACTTCAAACAGACTACAGTACTTGCAGTATCACCCCTCGACTCGTCCGACGATATCAGTACTACATCATCGTCCTTTCCATCTCCATCGCCGCCTGTCTCCCAGCAGTCTTCATCTTCTGTTTCTACAAAAGACTTAGAATACCTCGCGTCGCATTACACAGAAATCTCCTTATTGCTATCATTATAAGGAATGCACTGGTCATTGTCAGCCGAAGTGAGGTAAGTGCGAAACAATAGCCTGACATCACGGCGAATAATTTCGTTTTTTATACTATTGTGTTTGTACTGAAATATTTACCGTTGTTGTTGTTGTTGTTTATAATTGATTACAGCATTTGTAGGTAGTTATTTTTTGATGATGGTGAATGTTTTAAGCCGATTAAAAGTGTAATGTATTTAATTCCATTTTTTAACAGTCAAAGTGCTACGAATTTATTGTATTGAGGTAGTGAAACCGTTGAACTTGAACATCGGGTTCAATTCGCTCGACATGTCATATGATTAAAAAAACATTGAATAAACAACAAGCAGTTGTACTGGTGATTAATAAATATCATGTTCTAATACTGAATTCGCAGCTTATCCAAACAGTTTTGCAGTTTTTCTTCACTCATCAAAACAGCGCGATTGAGTCTGCAGTAGGCCTACCATGAAGTGTTAAAGCGTGAACCTTTCGGGCGAGAAAGAGGGATGGAGCTATAAACGGTGTATAGTTCCATCCCTCTTTCTCGTCCGAAAGGTTCACGGTAGGCCCTGTAAACTCATCGTGCTTCACAAGCCCTCCCAATATATGTATGTATTGTACTACACCTAGTTGTAAACTGATTTGAACGCATCGTTCTGCCAAGCTCCTAAGCTATACCTTTTCCTCTAGATCTACATAGACGAGCTAACAAGTTCTGGAGAGACAGTGATGTCGTCACATGGGATTGCCTGCCGTATATTAGCATTTGCCGAACGAGTAGCCGGCAACGCCGTGTTTGTGTGCATGCTTGTTGAAGGGATTTATTTGCATCGCTCTATCGTCGCCGTGTTCAAACAGAAGCTGAAGATTAAATGGCTGTACGGTGCTGGAGCTGGTTGGTATCATTATTTACATCATAATACTTTATTTCGTTCATTTATTAGATAATGTAATATCACATTTTATCAAACTCTCCTAACTTTTTCGTGATTTCCACAAAATATCTACTTTCGAAATTATTTCATTAATTTTGATAATAGAATTGTGCATTTTTCATAGTAATTTTAATAAAATAAAACCTCAAGCGGCATCACGCTACAAATACGTCTGCTGTTGGAGGTCCAATAATGGCTTTTGGGTCGATTAGAATTTGTTTTTTAAAAGTGTAAACTTTAGGACCTTTTCCATTTCAATCACTCAAAATATAAACGAGACATTCTCATTAAAAAACATAAAATACATAGGTATATATCTTGTTTCACTCAACAACCTCTCACGAATTGTTAGAAAGAAACCTCGTTTACATATAAAAGCGCTTACTTCCAGTGATAGCCCTAACACCAGCGATATCATGGGCGGCAGTAATGGCGGTCCATAACGACCACTCTTGCTGGCTAGTGTACACTGTTCCTCACATACAATGGATCCTCGACGCGCCTCGTATCGCCATCCTAGTGATCAACACCATACTCTTCATTGACATCTTGAGGGTACTGCTGACGAAGATCAGGAACTCGGAGAATGCTAATCAACTGTGAGTGATTTTTTTTTATGACTAAAATAACGGGTGTCATTGTCGATAATCGTCTGTTATTAGTAATCGTGTAGCTAAGTGTGGGAGAGTCATGCTTCGGTACAAAATGTGTCTCTTTTACTATCCCTACCCTATCCGACCCTAATCCCTAAACATTCGTAAACCCATTCCTCGAATGGTCGATAACGCACTCCTAACTCCCGAGGAGTTACCTTTCGAGTTGCGAGTATCAATAGGTAGTGCCGATTGCTTACCGTTAGGTAATCGTCTAACGCACAATTACTTAAAAAAACGGTCAAAGATCTCAGCATTAGTATTTTAGCTTGTCGTACTTAATTCTCAAAAAGAGCAATCACACACTCTCAGCAGGAACAATGATAACTCGGAAAAGTACTGATCACTCGCAAAGTGGAAGGAAAAAGACCTAGAGACAGAAGTCCGATACATTGGACGGATCAGATTCGCACCACTCTCAAAACTACAATAATCTCATTTGTTAAGGAAAGGATATAGTTTGCAATTGTAGAAGAAATATCAGAAATCAAATTAATATTGTTTTTATTTTTTTATTTAAGTATATAGATATATTCTCAAGCAATTAAGTTTACTGTGGGTTTCTTACAGTCATGATTGATTCATAATGTATAGGTACCTACATTTTAACCTTGTTTCAACAAACTCGAAATAAATTATTCAAAGCCAGCTTAAGATTAGGTACCTACAGAAATTAGGTTTCTAGGTCTCGATTATACTTAGATAATCCAAATATTATTCATTCTTTACAAATTTTGAGCAGAAGTGAGTAATGAGAAAATACATAGACCCAGCTTAGCTTTTCTTCACAATAGTTTTAGTCTTTTTATATAGGAGGACAAACCAACCGACGCATGAACTGATAAGCAATCAGCGCCGCCCATGTTCACACGCCATACCAGGATTGTTGCCGTCCTTTAAGGAATTAGAGATTTCAGCATTATCACTACCAAGTGATTGGGCTCACTCTGAGTGAGCCCAATCCTTCCCTTCTTACATCCCTAAATCTCCAAAACGCTTATCTTTAAAATGCCAACAACGCACTCATTACTCCTCTGGTAATACAGGCATTCATGGACGATGACGATTGCTTACCATCAAGTGATCTGCCTGAGCGTTTTACGGTAACGGCCCTATCACATATTTATATAATAAAAAATGGGTCTCCGGTAACCTCACGCACAATGCGAAACCTAGGTAACGCAAGCTTGGTTTCAGGCCGGGGCTGCGGGTTAAGCGCAATGAGGCACCGCGACCTCGGCCCAGGGCAGGAGAAGGAACGGGGGGTTTTAGTCAGTCACAGTCTGACACTCTCCTCTCGCCTTACCCTGGGCGGAAGAAGTCATTGGATGATTTTCGCCTGACAAAAAAAAGCTTGGTTTCAGGCCGGTTTTCTTTTCTGTGAGGCCATGCTATGACCGATCGAGCCGGCCTATTTTTAATGAAGCATGGCTCTCCCGCACTTAGTAATCAAAAGGCAAATATTGCTAGGTATTATTAAACACTAGTGAATAGAAAGTCTTATACCTACTTTAAAATGATAAACTTTATAAGTCAAGAATCGAAATTAACAAGGTCATTTCGGTAGTAAAATATTTATAAGAGCTAGTGTTAAGATTTGAAGTACCTAGTATACCTACTTAATACTAGTTTGACTAAAGTTATTATCTAGAGCAAACCTGCATCTCGTTTCTACACATTGTGCAAGAATCAGACAGTCTTCAATTAAATGTCCTACTTACTTCGAAAATGTTAATATTTGCACCGAATGTTGATCTGCATTTTGGTTGTTACAAAAGATTTTATTGACTGAAGACATTCAGATAGAATTGAACCTTATTAACAGTGGAATGAGGCTCAGTTCAGACCACTGTGATGTGAAGATAAGAGTCATCTTAATCCGATGTCCGGTTAGACAAAAAGTTGATACTTAGACAACGTAAGTTCAGGTTACTTTGATTCAAATCCAGAACCAAACGTATATTCATTTTTCATTGATTGAGATAGGTTTGGATTAAAGTTCCTCGAACTTACGTTGTCTAAGTACCTACCAACTTTTTGTTCAACCTGTTGGTAGCTAAATATGTACTTAGTAAGGTACTATTGGCGAGATCAAAAATACGTCCTCTCCAAATGTAATACATACCTATTTTTTTGCCAAATCCATCGTGATCAGTATCGACGTATACCTACCTATACCGCAATTTGACTAAATATCACAATCTAGACAGACACTTTGTACCAGACTCGTTTGAATATATTACGTTATTTGTTAGAACTATTTTTCACATACACACATTATCGGAAACATAATAAAGGTAGTGAATGACCCTTAACCAAATCTACTCCCATACATATTATTTGATTCCCTTTGTCTTACAGGAGTACAGCAAAAACAACCTTATTCCTGATGCCGTTGTTTGGCACGCAGTTCTTACTGACTGCCTTCAGGCCAACCACTTCCAACTGCACTGAGGAGCAGATCTATTACTACGTATCCTATACTCTGGAGGGGCTGCAGGGCTTCATTGTAGCCATGCTTTTCTGCTACATTAATAAGGAGGTGAGAATTTACTGTTATTCATCTATCCCTCCAATTTTTCATACCTACTTATGCATTTTTTTGTAATTTCCAAGTGTTTCCTAATTATACTTATTTCCAAACAACTTTTAGCTCGTTATCCGATAAATACCCCTTGTTCTAAGATAATATGGAGGAAAAGTCATTTATTTGTTGAATACTATTGTAATGGATAACACCAATTGCGAATACTTAGATTTTATATACTTCTGACATTCAAATTCTTTCTCTAGGTCCGTGGACTAATAAAGGCTACATACAGGAAAACCGAAAGTGCTGTTGTTTCCCGAATACGAAGAGATTCTTCGTTACCTCGTATGAGTCAAAATTCTGATAGGAGAATTACCTGCAGTACTGGTTTGCCATCAAATACGGGAGAGGAATCAAAAGACCAATATGCGAGCATAAGACCAAAGTTACACGTCGCTGAAATAATATCGATACAGGCCAGTGAACGACTCGCTGAGATTTTAGAACCAGTATATGAAACTATACAAAATGGAGTCACTAACGAAGGGTACGACTCTCTTGATAGATCAGACCTGGACAATGACTCGGGCTTCATAGCTAATAGAGACTTCAAAGTAGAAGATTACTACGGTTTCACTAACGCATCAAGCGTCTCCATCGATTGCCAAGACTGGATCCGCTGCGTCTCATCCCCATCTAGCAGCGTTTACAACAACTCCTTAAACGATTACGAAACAAAATATTTAGAAAAGAAATTCCCAAATCATTCCAAACTTCGAGGCATTTGTGAGGTTCGCGAAAAGAATTCGGACCAAATAATTGCTAATTGGAATTGTATGGAATATCCGGCTGCGCAATCGCACTCAGCTAACGAAGATGTTAAGAAAGAGATTGGCCGTGAGAGGGAGCCCGTCGCCGGGGCCGGGGCCAGAGTCGCAAAGCCGGTCGACGATGGCGAATACGACGACTGCGAAAATATGTTCGAGGAGATCATGCAATACATAGAAACCACGGACAATCAAAATACTCCAATCCCAATAGATCCTAATTGCCTCGCACCAAACCGACGCGACGGAGATAGGATTGTATTTCTAAATGAATAAATCACTTACTTACAACTTGTTAACATTATTATCACGAAATCCATTTTGTTTTCATATCTGCAGCGGTAGATGATTGTTAATGTTCTAGATAACATTATCAGTATTTCCTGAAATCAACACAATTCTTTGTGTATTTAAAATTAATCGCTTTAAATTAGGCACTAAGCACATTCCGTCTTAATATTTAATTTGATATTTTATTGTTTTCTAGTTAATAAACTGCCACTGAGGCACCTAACATTATAAAAACAGTTCACTTTGTTTTTATGTAAAAACTGATTGATGTTAATTATATTCATTAACGTTTTATATTCTTAACAAAAAACTGTTAAACATTTAACTTATTGCAATTATTTTCTATAAAATATATGAATAAACACTACGCATTAGATTCTTGGCTTTTATTTTCATTCAAATGCATATTATGCACGTGATTTAATATATGTTAGACAGGCATACGCAATGTATGAGTAATGATACGATTTCGGCACACCCAAACATCGTACCAGTAAACATTAATTGATCTATCAAGTTGTACAGAGATCTAGATCCTTTCGAAGTCGGCTTACAAAACCGAGTGCGGCGACTTACACATGCACAGTCGAACGCGAGGTGGGCAGTTGTTACCTTTCAATTACAACTCACTACCAACTTAACTACTTCAATTTCGGTTACTTAAATACAGCTGAAAATGTTTACCAAGTTACTATTAGGGCTAATTTTGTGTTGGGGTGTGTGGAGTTTCCCGGACGGGGCTCCAATCGACACGTGTGTGAAGAACCGTGCTAATCAGCCTAATCATGGACAACACAGGACACAACCCTTGTCCACTCTACCGTACAGGGTGCTCGCATCAGCGCTGGTTTACGGCCCAAATACCCCTGTCACAGGTAACGTTAATAATTCCCATCATTATCACTACATAATATTAAACTAAGTCGCTGTCTCTGTCCCTATATTCCCATGTGTGCTTTTATCCTTAAAACTACGCTACGGATTTTGATGCGGTTTATATTTAAATAGATATACTTAGACAACAATCTGTACATAGAATAAATGAAGAGTTATATCGTCATTGATGAAGAGTAAGGTTTATATGTGTGATAACATCCATTAAATAGTGCACCAATTTAATTATCATTGTACATTGTATCCGTGCGAAGCCGGGGCGGGTGGCTAACATAAATTGATTTATGAAAATTACTAATATACTTATAGGTAGTAACCAAGCAGTGAATAGATAAGGAGGATATTATTTTTACTTAAACGTATTACCTATTCTTCGATGACGTTCACACTTCATGTTTGTATTAAAAGTTAATAAATAGGATTTGTATTTTTTTACTTTTAAGTTGCTTATGAAGGTAGATAGTTACAATGCTCGGCTTCTAAATTAAGTACCTAGGCGTTGCACATTTAAGTAACTAGGTATTTATCAATCACATAAACATCGTAAATGTAGGTACCATCCTTAAGTGTGAACTTAGAAGTAAAAAAATCTTACGTAGGTAAATATAAAAAGTACAGATTTTTTCACAATTAATCATTACAGTAACGATTTATGTCATTAGGTCCTATTATAGCAAAAACACGTATTATGCATTTACTTGCCTAAGTATTTAAATAAGCTCATAAATTATGCTGAATTAATATTGTGTTTAGATCGTAAAAATTATCTACCCCAATCTATAGTATCAAAAAAGTTTAACAGTATTTTGATACTGGTTGAATCTAGAAATATCGATAACATTCTATTAATACAATACACATAGAAAGTCGAAACATGTCATTCATCCATCATTTTATTAACGATTATTGAAAGGAGCCACTCTACTTATAACTTTCGTAATCGCCTATTTCTTAAAGAACCGTAGGTATAAGAACAATTTATTTCTATTTACAAACTAAACATGTGTTAACCTCCAAATTATACTTGCAAATATAAATTGAGTACTAAAACGGATATACCAAACAAAAGGTTATAAGATAAAGTTACTTTTGTAGTAATAGTAACGTTCATTGATAAAATCTACCGATAAACTGAGTGCGTAATACACGTTCGATTGCACAAGACATTCTGAATTTGGTATTGTAGGTCAAACAGCCTATGGTGGTTCAACCGGTTCGTTCCCAAACGAATTGGGGTAAGGGTGACTAAACAGATCCTTGAGAATTACTGTTATACTTAGTACCGTACTTACATATTGTTATTTTCGAATACCTATATTCAATCGTCTTGTTCTAGAATCAGGTCTTGGACCCCTTTGGATTCTTTCATGAATAACGGCCGATATGCCGAATTTATCTAGGTTTTTGACGGATTCAACAGGTGCAAAAATGGCGGGAACCGGGCATGGAATGAAGTCTATATGGGATTCACAAATTTAAATATATAGATAGTATTTCAGGCATTACCTAAGTACTTTAGAAAACTTGGACCAAATTGGAATAAATTGTTTAGGTACAACTATAGGAACATTTAGATATGTATGTGTTCCTATAGTAGTTAGAATAATCTAAGCTGGTGACAAAAAGTTATGAGGTGATGACCATTAAGTACCTACTTTAAAACGTTCGATTTTAGCCCTGAAACTTTGTATAGGTGCCTAATTTTAAACTGTAGCGCGACCTGTACAACTAGATTAAACATAGGATGTAGGATCTTTACGACTTATTACGACACTTAGGGTTTCGATGAACTTTATAGTTTTTTAAAGTAGGTGTCTTAACTCTATCGAAAAGGTAGGTATACGTCTATGCAGTGTCAAAAAATACAAATTGGTAACACGAAGAATACCCTTACCTTATAAGCATGCTGGCTAATTTATATTAACATTTTACTACAAACAAAGGAACTTACGTTGATAAAATAAAAACAAACTACCTAAGTACATAATTGAAAAAAAAACTTTTCAGTGACAATAGAAGGATCGGAACCGTTCAAAGGATTCTTCATTCAAGCGCGTTCAGTTGAGAACGACAACTGGATCGGGTCGTGGGAACCTGCTCCGAACACGACTATCCATCCAGAATGTTCGTCGATCACACACGGCGACCCTGAGTTCAAGACAAGGGCTACTTTGCTGTGGAGAGCACCCCCTGATGCTCATGGAAGGGTGTACTTCACGTAAGTTCTTATTCATTATATTTGAAGTGGTTTTGTCTGTACTCAATTGTTGCCATTGTTACTATTCTCAATTCAAAACCTTATATGTCTGACAACCAAGGGGTAAGTAAAAGCGTAAGTACTACTTAATTGATTTTTAAAGCACTACACAGGGTACACGTTTATATATCTAATAATCGGTAAATGGCTATAAGCGTATTAATTTTCGGAGTCTAGATTAGACTAGAGTCCAATTACGCCTTTTTCGTGGATATGAAAGAAATATTAGGGATTTAGAATAAAACCAAGGGTTGCGGATGCAAATGCAATAATGTACCGTGGCCTCGGTCTGCAGCAGGAGAAGGACCCGTTCCTTCAGGTTTTAAGTCAACAGTTTGACACTCCCTCTAGCACCATCTAGGGCAGAAATCATTGGATAACTCTCCCTCCTCATAAAAACTTAGGATGTCCTATCCTAAAACGGATTTAGGTCGATATCTGTAGATAGGTACCTATATCTGCTAAGATCTTACGAAACGTCTTAATAATCTCGATGGCAGCTTCCAACAAGTTAATTGCAGTACTTAAATCGAGAGCCATACATGGATTTTAAGCTAAAGCGTGATAATGAGGTTGTCGACCCGTGCCCTAATAGCACTGCTCCTTTCACTGCACATACATTTATGTGGCCGTTGCGTAACGTCAATGAGCTGTCAGCATTAGTTAACGTAGCCTGACCTTTAGATAAACTTCATACGTAGAATATGTATCAATCGAGAATGATCATACAATCTTGACGTTTACTCTACATTAATTTAAAGCGCACACATAATTAGCCTTGAATTTATTATTTATGAAGTAATTGCACTGTCGGCCATCCGGTGACTTGCGTCTTTTCGAATAACGAATGTTTATGAATTTTATTATACCTACCCACTTTTGTAATGTTTCGATTATATTATTGAACATTAATCAGCAATTTGTCTGATATTGAGACGTTCAGACGCCAGCACTCAAAACTATAACATACTGACGAAATTATTTAACGTATTTTCAACTTTATTCCTGGTTCATTGAGGTTGAAAATTTGTTAAAATGGTGTGACAGGGTGATATCTTGATGTGCTTTGTTTCGCAAGTTTTTAGCACAATTGATAACCTGGAGATGATTGTTAAAAAACTAGATTCTACAAGTGTGTTAATGGTGTAATAGGTCAAATGTTTGTGTAAATTTCAGAGAAAAATAAAATCGATGTGTCATTCTATTATGTGTTCAACGAATGTAGATAGCCGCGTGGCTGATGACTTCCAGATAACCTGGGCTGATTGTTATATAGGTACGACGGAGAAAAAATAAGGAACACCTATTTGTTCAATTTTTTTTGTTTAGTCATGGGCTGGGATTTTGCCGCTATCACACCTGGTGGCGGTGATGCGACCTGCGATGGAGCACGCAATCGGCAAAGAATTCCACTCCTTTGCGGTATTGATAATACAACAGAAGTCGAATCGCTTCGAGCGTGTGGGAGGGGTATCCACTATGAAAGTAATAAAACTAAAATAGAGTTTAGAATTTGTCTATCTGCACATCACATTGAATAATAACATTTTCTTTATAAGCATTCAGAATTCTAATTGATCAGGTTCAGTACCTACTTTATAATGTACGAATTGATACGAATCGCCAAAATTGAGGTTGTGTATTGTCAATAATGTCTTGATACTTATTTTATCCAGCGAAAAGCAAATAGTGTCTATCCGTCATTATAGCATCGTGACTATTTTTAAAATACTTTATTTCATTAAGCCTTTGACTGCCGACCAAGAACTATTGAGGGCAAATCCTCCGCTACCTTAGGTCACCGGTGACCTACGTGGCGGTTTACGTGTTAAAAATTAATAATTATTACTTTTATAACTTATTTCCTAAAGGATCAGGTTTCTCAAAACTAATTCAAATATAGAATTCGGGTTCAAAAACAATCGGATAACATAATACTAATGCAGTTTTTAACATACCTCAGCTAGACTAGTCTTAAGAAATATTGCACGTAATGTTTATAGAAAAATTACGTTAGCCTGTGAAGCCATACTGTACAATCGATATTACTTACGTAGACTGAAGATTAATGACCGTAGCCAATTCCTAATCTCACGTCACGAATTCACGATATGCACGCGTGGCACTACCCGCTCATACTGACCACCGTACTTCATCTAATCATACATATTGCCTCATGTATTTCAGTAAACAAATCATAAACTATGACTACCTATTCCTCGTGTCACAGCTAAATAATAAATATCTGTTTACAGCGGCACCGTACTGAAGAACTACGGAACTTTTTGGTCCGACCTCATCGCTGAAGCGCCACAAGACCCCTCACAACTTCAAATACTTGGCTGAAAGGAATATCAACTCTATTCTTTTGAAGACAATGCCGAAATTGCTTCAAAATTTGTCGCTTTAAACTGTAATATTAGAAATGTAAATAAAACTAAACATAAATAAATAGATAAGTTTATTAGAATTGTGTTGTGTAACATAAATGCATTCATTTCGTATCAAGATCAACCAATTGCCGAGAATCAAGTTATCACAAATTAGCAAAACGTGTACATATCATTATCTGACATCGTGTTAAAATATTATTACAGTGTCAAATGTCGTTACTGATAAGCTCTATATAAAAAAATATGAATCTCATATTTCTGTTAAGGTATGGTTTCGCTGAGCAAACGGATGTTTGTTTTAAGACATGTTATTCGCTGAGTAATTATATTGTGATGATCTTAGTAATTTAACCTTGTTTTATTATCAGTAAATCTACATATTGACCTATTCACAGTAGTTACTCAGCATATACTCCGAAAACAAGGGTCTGGTCTTATAGAATTCCCTATCGGTACACTGACTCACACTTAAATGACAAGCATACCACAATATCCACCAGTCATCTTTATCCACCCATTAACACAGTGAAAACAAACCTTTAACACAAGTTCATAGCACGTATTATCACATTAGCAAGTAAATATAACGATATTACTTCAGCGGGAAAGAACTGAATGATATGCAGTACTGAGTAACTTGCAATCATCTATATAATCATTAAAGACCTGATTGTTCGTCATTTACGACAATAGTGAATAATAATGAATAATTCACTATTTAAAAGATCGATTATCATAATAAAGGACGTCCCAATTTTTAATGTCGTTGCACTACAAGTCCAATAATATTACATAAATAAATTAAACTGAAATTATCACTACTCGTATTCAAAAACGTTACTATTAGTCTACAAAAAGGTCTCAAAGACCTATTCACAGACAAATCAAACGCATTTCATAAACAACTATATTGTTTTGAAACTTGAAACGCATAATTTTGAATAAAATTAGTGTTTTACTGAGACAAATATCGTAAGTGCATACGAGAGGTTCTATATATTAATTTTTATATATTTCTTTAACAAGTCCTGTAAACAAGACTTTTTGTGGAAAATAGGTGGGGGGGGGGGGATTAACCAGAAAGCCGATCAATTGATGGTAAGCAACCAGCCACAACACAGATGAGATACAAGTGCGTTACCGACCTTATAGCGAGGGAGGAAGATTGGGCCTTTTTCCTCTCACAAGAACCCTAGGATTATCAGCACGCCTTATTAGGTCTGGGCAAGTTCGTACAATCGGGTCTCTAATGCAATTCCTTCATACAATAAAGCTATACAAAGCGTTAGTAAGTGCTACAATATAAAAACTTTCTATAAAATCTTATGCTCCCGTCTTTTGCTTCATAACCGGCCTCTTTATATCCATGAGGTCACAGAGTTCGTTCCTTATAGGTCTTAGTTCTGCTACTTCTCTTTCCCAGTCCGTTTCTGCGAGCACTGACATTATCTGTGGAAAAGAAAATTCATTAAAGTGTACTCTGATTACCTACTTTATTACATTTTCAACTTTATAGTTTCAACATAAAGTCTAAAGTACATTAAAAAGACAACATATAGTAGTAGGAAAGACGTATATTTAGGCTTATTTGGCAAATAGATAATGTTAATGTGTAGGTACAATGTTCTCAGACTTAGTGGAACTAATTAAGTACTGATAACTCTTTGCACAAGTGCATCGAACTATAAGCCTTCGGACAAAAGCGGTTTTAATCATTTTTTTGTAGAGACAAATAACACTAGTTTACAAAATTTTACTTTTTATTTATACCCCGAACCGAATGTATGTCAATATGTTAATCTACCTTCCCTAAACCTAAAAGTGTTAGAAGAAATATTTTATCACGTCGGAATTTTTTTCTGCCGTCAATTGTTTTTTTTTAACTACCCGACGTGGTGGTGATATGTTATGTTTATTCGTTCGCTTCAAACGACAGTTACTTTGCTTTGGATTGATTTAAAATGGCAAGCAGAAAGTGCAAACAAAGTTCTGACCGTTTTTGTTATGTTTGTGGACCGTTTATATTTTCAAAAAAGAGAAGACCTATTGTAGATTCGTTAAAAACTGCATATTTTCATTTTTTTGGATTTCCTGTGCAAATCAAGATAAAAAGTGGGTGCCTCACGTGTTTTGCGAAAGCTGTAGAATCATCTTACTCCAGTGGTCATCAGGAGAAAAGGTTTACCTTCCATTTGGTTCGCCAATGCTATGGAGAGATCCTAGTAATCATGAAAATGATTGTTACTTTTGTGTTACGAAGACATTGGGATATAACAAAAAAAAAAAATAAGGCAAGTATTATGTATGCCGATGTTCCGTCTGTTACTAAGCCGATTTTACATTCAAAAGATCTACCCCATCCAGTTTGTCCCGGTAGTTTGAGTGCAAATATACTAGATGACAATAACAGTGATGTTGAATTCAAGTCGATTTCTAGTGATTCTGACGAATTTTCACCTCAAGAAAACACTCCACATTTAGTTAATCAGGCCGAATTAAATGATCTTATACGAGATTTACAGTTATCAAGATCTAAAGCAGAGCTTCTTGGCTTCCGCTTACAACAATGGCACTTGTTACTACCAGACACCAAAGTTACGTTTTTTCAGAAACAGAAGCAAAATTTACTCAGCATTTTTCAAAAGAGAAGGTGAATATTGTTATTGCACAGATATCCCGGGACTTTTCGAAGCAATAAATCAAAACTATGATAAAAAGGAGTGGCGCCTATTCATAGATTCTTCAAAATATAGTCTCAAAGCTGTTTTATTACATAACGGAAATAAGAAACCTTCCATACCAATAGGACACGCAGTGAATTGTAAAGAGAGCTATGAAACGATGCGTACTTGCCGGTCTTTAAAATATGGGAGTAAACATGTCATTAAAGATTCACTTTTTACACTCTCATCTGATTTTTTTTCCTGAAAACTTAGGAAGTATGAGTGACGAACAGGGTGAACGTTTCCACCAAGATTTAAGGAATTTCGAAGAACGACATCAAGGATTTTGGGATGAAAATATGTTAGGAGATTCCTGTTAGTCTATCATAAGAGAAACTGATTCAAATAACTATAAAAAGAAAGCAAAAATTAGTCATTTTTAGTTTATTTTTGTATTAATCCTAAAATTTTTGTATTTCCCTTCTAGAAAATAACTATTTATAAAACCAGACGTGACAGAATTTTTTTATTATTTTTTCTGGATAGTTCTACCTGAACACAAAATAAAATAACAATTTTCAGCTGGGGTATGATAACCGTGTAAACTAGTGTAATTAATTTATTTGTCTCTACAAAAAATGCGCAATATCGTCAATGTTTGTGCTATTGCACTTATTGAAAACATTTTTTATCTTTGGTCATGTATTTTTTATTGTTGTGTTATTGACAGGTGAAAGTAACATGAAAGAAAATATAGAATATTTATGTCAATATAAAAAAAATAAGATCTTTATACGGGCGCTATAAGTCGAGCGAAACCGGGGCGGGGTATATAGGTATTCAACAATAAAATTACTATCATCAAAAAATATTTGACGCATAACAAAATATAAATTATAATACGCAATTTATAAACTGATTACGTAAAAACGTATAAATGTGTAAGTTTTAAACATATAACCTATTGGCTTTTGACCACTAACTATATTTTCGCTACTCATAGTATTATGTAGTTTTTATCCGAGTATGGCACACGCTATCTATTTACTTTTTGGACAAGGCTGGCGCGTGTTAAAAAACGTGCTATAATGATGAGCGAACTCTTGTTTATTAATCACTGGAGTTGTTTCATAAACATTTGGTAATGCTAAAGAGACCATAATACAAATAAAATAAAGAGGGGAGATTCTTTTTTATATCATTTTTATAAAAAAAAAATACAAACGTTATTATATTAGGGTCAATTAAAAGTTAAAATGTTTAAAAAAACTAAACAACCCAATCATGGCGCTGAGCAAGTTACTCGGCATACTTAACTCGAGAAGATAATTATTTGTAAAATAAATGTTGAAAGATTTTCGGCGAATTAACCAGGATGATGATTTTTTATCTGTATTCCTATTTATAATTATTCCTGCCAAAAATGCTTGTTCAATTAGTGTCTTACAGATAGATTTTGTTTAATGTAAATGATCATCATGATCATACTGTGACACACGCACAGACAGGAACGTGACGTCAGGCACCTAACAATACCAAGCGCATGTCAACTGCTAATCACAAGCATCCTGATAATAACTTCCAGATGGATCGTTTGCAAGTGACCTACATCTATGACCTTAATCTTTCTAGCATGCATTTGGGCGATTACACTACTGACAATGAAAATTATTGAAGAACCTCAAATATCAGAACGCTTTAGGTTATACGCATTTTTTACAATTTAATAAAAATGTTACAACACATAAGGATTTTCTCCAGTGTCTTGGGTGCGTTTACACAAACTCAGATACCTACACAAGTTACCCAGACCTGAAACTAAATCTGTGGATCACACGAAGTATTGTTCCGTGAGGTAATCGAATCTGCGACACGTTGCACAAGCAGCCGGTTTCTTTGGTTGGACTTCGTAAAGTTTTCTCATCAATGAAGATTATAATCGATTACAATAATTTAACAACCCACTGAATATATTATTAGTTTTTCATGGTTTAACGACAAATATTTTACTTTTTGTACATGACGTCAATAAAGATTAGAAACCACTATTTAAATAAAATGATAGATAGACTTAACGTTAATACTGACACAAACAAAAATGATTTTAAGACAAGTGCGTCATAATAAGATTACTGTGAAGATTTAATGCTAATTTATTATTAATTTTTATATAAAAAACTCTGTATTTTTATGCATTAATGTCCACAATTCATCCTTAATCAACTGTACTGATGTTAATAAGGTAGTTGTTGAATATTTCCTTACTGTAGGTATTAAAGTGACCAGGGTGTGATGTTTCCTTGGTTAAGAACAAGGGGGTCTCCACCAGACCAGGCTATGTGATTATGCTTCTTGAGCTATATGTCCAATAGTTGTTTTGTTAATGTTAGGAATTTATACCATATACCCATATCAAACTACACCTTATACGACGAAGGACAAGTTACGCCATCTGTTATTTTTATCGTCGAACTACCTATATTATTTTTTATGATGTAGGTCGCAAGGTGAAATGAATAGACGGAGCACTTGATTGAGCAAATCAGGGATTTGGGAATTAGGGATGGGATTACGAATGGATGATTCCCCCCTCGTTCCCCCTGGAAGACTGGGGCTACGGTAATCTCATAATGCATGCATTCTTACCTACCAGCAGGCACCGTGTTGACCATATCGCATCGATCGGATATGCCTTTTTATGCTCAGGTTTAATTCTGCTACATAGAGGGTTATGGGAAAAAATATATAATCGTAGTAGCGGTCGTCCGTGGCTCCGCCCCGTGTATGGCGATCTTACACTTTTACAAGTTTTTTTTTTTTCAAATTTCGCCACGTACAAACTTTATTGGACTTCCACGAATAATTCAAGACCAAAAATTAGTTAATCAGTAAAGGCATTGTTGAGTTTTAACATGACAACTAAGAGTGGCATTGATTTTTTTTATATATATATAGATACTATCAGACCCAGCCACGCGTTGCTGTGGCTAAGTTTCTTGTCAAAATAATATTGTGACTATGAATTGAGATGTAAGCTATCCTATCTTTCAAGTTGGATCAAAATGCACACGGAATGCAAATCCAATTTAAAATCGGTTTAGTAGTTTAGGAGTCCATCGCGGACAAACACGTGACACGAAATTTTTATGTACATTTATAGATAAGAATACCTGGTCTATATTATCCTGCGGCACGGAGCATACGTCCCCGTAGAGTGTGAGCGCCTCGTACAGTCTGGCCGCGGCGCAGCGTCGCACATAGCGGTCCGCGTAGCACAGGTAGATCACTAGCTGCCCTAGTGATCTACTGCATACTACTCCACCCACCTAAATAAAAATTAAAGCAAAATCTTTGTTATTTCTTTGTTGTGTTGTAGCACCAGTATATGGTGTGAGGTTAGGGGGACAATTCTGAATCTAGTCGAGTCTCGATAAGTCTACTTATAGTAGAATTTTAAAGAAACAGTTTTTTTTTATGTAATACGTCGGCCAACTAGTAGACGGATTACCTGATGGTAAGCAATCACGCCGCCCATAGACACCTTCAGCGGAGGAGTTACGAGTGCGTTGCCGACCTTTTAGGGATTAGGGTTTTGGAGATTTAGGGATTGGGGAGGGATCGGGGCAGAGGAAGTATTGGGCCTCCGGTAACCTCACTGACACGGCGAAACAACGCTGTGGTTGTTTCACGCCAGTTTTGCATTGTGTTCCTTAGATTTGTTAAAACCGGCAGACCAGGGTAAAGAAAGCTACGCTGTGCCAAGTTGATTTTTAGTCGACTGCCGATTGTGATTTTTTTTATGTCATAGGACGGCAAACGAGCAGACGGATGACCTGATGGTAAGCAATCGGCGTCGCCCATGGACACCCGCAACAAAGAGTTACGAGTGCGTTGCCGACCTTTTAGGGATTAGGGTTTTGGAGATTTAGGGATTGGGAGGGATCGGGGAGGGGAAGGATTGGGCCTCCGGTAACCTCACTGACACGGCGAAACACAACGCTGTGGTTGTTTCACGCCAGTTTTGCATTGTGTTCCTTAGATTTGTTTAAACCGGCAGACCAGGGTAAAGAAAGCTACGCTGTGCCAAGTTGATTTTTAGTCGACTGCCGATTGTGATTTTTTTTATGTCATAGGACGGCAAACGAGCAGACGGATGACCTGATGGTAAGCAATCGGCGTCGCCCATGGACACCCGCAACAAAGAGTTACGAATGCGTTGCCGACCTTTTAAGGATTGGGATTTTGGGGATTTAGGGATTGGGAAGGGATTGGGGTAGGGGAAGGATTGGGCCTTCGGTAACCTCACTCACACGGCGAAACACAACGTTGTGGTTGTTTCACGCCGGTTTTCTGTGAGGCCGTGGTATCACTCCAGTCGAGCCGACCCTTTCGTGCTGAAGCATGGCTTTCACGCACTTAAGATTATATTATACACTTTCAGATTTGACTAAGATTTACAGTGAAACAAGCATTGTGTTCCTTTACATTTGTTAAGACCGGCAAACCAGGTTAAAGAAAGCGACGCTGTGCCAAGTTGATTTTTGGCCGACTGCTGCTTGTGATTTCGTGCCACCACGACTTTTTGTCACTGAGTGCACTGAAGATATAGGAGAGGAATAATACTGTATATTAATATCTGTATACTACCGACTTCTTTTTGTTTCTGTAATCCATTATAATTTCATCTACGAATAATGTTTAGTGAGTGAACCGTGACAATAGGAGACGTAGTACTAAGTTTAGTACTAACCTGAATAAGCTGACATAAAACGTTGATAGAATCTAAGAGCTTGTATATGTTCTTTCCACCTCGAAGTTCTAGTTGTAAATGCTTCAGTATGTCCATAGCAAACGTCGATTCAGGGTCCTCTAGTATCGGTGATATGGAGCCTAATAATTAAAAAAAAAAACGCTTTAAACATTTTTATACTTTTACAACTTTTATTTGTTGGAAAATAGAAAATAGGAGTACTTTCAGAATTTGAAATATCTGCTGGTTAAACTTTCTGATTTAATGTCTACTCAACTTGAAACCTTATTGAACATCAAAATCAATCCAATAAAGTCAATAATTACAAAGACAAATCGCATTTGGTTAACAATTCTCACATTAAAATCACACAACAGTTAATGCTTTACTTAAATTATTTCAAAATCTACTGAAACCTCACCTGAACTCAACAAGCGATCCAAGAAATTGAACATAGGTCCCGTTATCCTCTTGACATGGAGGTTATCAGCAAATACTTTGATGATCGTGTCGCAGATAGACTTCAACATTTCTTTGTTATCGTGCAAAGTGTTGAGGTAAGCATATAGGGACTGAGTTGTATGTTTTACCTGGGAACAAGTAATACAAGGTTATAATAGTAAAGACTGACGGTTGGCGGAGTGGCTGGGCACCTGGCTGCTGTGCAAAGTGTCGTGGGTTCGAGTTCCACACGGAGTAACACATTGGGTGATCTACAAATTGTTGTTCCGTGTCTGGGTGGTTTGTGCAAGTTTGAGAGAAACAAGCTTCGGCACGAATAGGCCGTCTCGACTTGAGTGATACCACGGCCTCACATAAAACCAGCGTTGTGTTTCGCTGTGTGAGTGAGGTTACCGGAGGCCTAATCCATTGCCCTTTTTTTCGTTTCCTCGTCAAACTGTTACGAAAGCCCTCCAACAAAATAAAAGGTTATAATAGATATAGTAGACTGTATAATAAAGAGCTTTCCTGTTTTTCATAGAATCTATTATTTTATGCAAATTTTGTTACGTGACTGATTTGAACGTATTTTTATTCGCTGTAGTCTTTGATTGTAGAATTACAATTTGCTTATCAAGCGCGCCATCTATTAGTTTTACGTCAACACTATTTAGCTACAGACGTCACCATCGTAACATTAATAAAGATTTAATAATTTTAACCAAATAAAAAAAAAGAAAGTACATACCAAGCTCTCAGTCAACTCTCCTCCGCTGACAACTAATCCCTTGATAACATTGTACCGATAGTCCGGGTAATTCAACAGTTGCACGAATCTGGGCATTGTATGTCCAGGGAAGAGCCACAGTACAACGTTGGTGTTCTCACTGGTCGTTGTTTGGTCTTCCTCCACTTCTTTTGCTGGAGGCTTCAGTTCCACTTCTTCACAAGGAAATATGCGTTTCAAAGCATCGTGGTGGGGAATGTTCGTGATTGGTGGGTCACTGTGAAATCATATATTTTTGATTGACTTGTATATCATTGCAACAGTAAAGTAAAATATATAATAATATAAAAGAGTAGAACATATTTGAAGGAAATCCCAACAATTGGACTCTCTAGGGCTGACGACGATTATTAATAGATGAGGTTTATTATGAAGTAGCTATAGCCCACGACTTCGTTCGCGTGGAATAGATTTTTGAGTTCCAATCTATGTCTGTACCAAATTTCACAGAAATCGGTTCAGTAGTTTAGGCGTGAAGAAAAGACAAACAGACAGACAGAGTTACTTTCGCATTTATAATATTAGTTTGGATGAAGTAAGCAAGATTGTTTATGTACTACATAATAATATGTATGCAATTGTATAGTTTCTAAATATGCAAAATTAATACTTTTGACAAAATGTCAAACCTATAGTTTTCTAGAAATAGCACGTTATGACGTCAAAATAGCATAAGTACTTATTCCTATATGATTATCTATTACGAATATTAAGTATCTAAAACTACTTTAATAATAATCACACCTTCGTCCATTAACTTTAGTAACTTAAAAATAAATTATCAAAGCATTTTTATGTTTTAAAAATTGGATGTATTTCTTACTTGTATATGAGCGAGGTGAAGATCCTTCCAGCGTGTGCCCTGGTCCGGTCAATCTTCTCCACAGCTTGCTGGGCCACTCCACACATGATGGCCGACACTAACGCCGGACTGTTCAACTCGGGCGCCTCTACCGCGCACTGCCGACTGATTGATAGCAGACCTAAGTGAACATAAGAGATCTCAATACTACCATATTTTTATATTAAGTGTCGTGACACACATTCAAAACGGTTATATGGTATAATGATTATAGGCTCCTGTGGCATTTGAAACTAGTCAAGTACTACTCGACTACTCGTTCAATATTCACGCGAATAAGCCAAATAACAATGTCTCGACTGATGTTTATGGAGGCATGGAGGATGAATTATTTGCCCTGCACGCATTGTTTTTTTTTTGTCATAAGTCGGCAAACGAGCGAATTACCTGATGGTAAACAACATATCAGCGCCGCCCATGGCATTGGTAAAACCACAAGAGTCAATACAAGTGCGTTGTTGGCCTCTTGTGGGTTAGTAGGGATTTAAGGATTCGAGGATAAGGGTTGGACTTCCTCACTCACACGGTAAAATACAACGTAGGTATTGCTTCATGCTGGTTTTCTGTGTAGCCGTGATATCACTCTGGTCGAGCCAGCCCATTCGTGCCGAAGCATGGCTCTCCCCCACTTAAACACATTTTGTCTAGCAGTGCGGCAATAAATACCGTTACAACTGACATAATTAGGTAGTTTCTTAAGTCAAAAATAAATTAATCCGACGTTTCAATACAAAAAATAAAAAAATAAGTATACTTTTATTCTTCGATCGATCGATACATTAAATTGAAGATATATTTTAACTAATTTTTCAGAAATAGCTATTAAGCGTAAGCTATTTGACGCAAAGATACTATGACATCATAACTCAATGTTTCATACGAATTTCATAGAAAAGTATCGTTTTTGACATTTGGATAAAAGTATTGAATTTGACTAAACTACCGTATTATTAAAAATGCACTTACCAGTCATACTAGCCTCTCGCACCCAAGCGCCGATATCTCCCCTCATATCGATAGTATATTCAGACAGACAGTCGAGCAATGCCTCCACGATCCCTCCGACATAATCCCGCACTCCCCCCACAATGCCCTGTGTCTGGCACACCTCAGTGAGTCCAACCACTGCGTCACGTCTCGCCTCGGCCCATTTCTGAGTCCCGTCTGTCACCTTGGTACAGTTGATCAGAGACTTAATTACCAATGAAAGGTGTTCGGTTAGCACGAACTTTGGTAGGGAGCCTGAAAGGAAAAAATGAAACTTGCTTATGGAAATTCATACTTTTAGCTTTGAGCAAAAGTTTATATTCAATATTATTATTTTTTCAATAAATTTGTATATTGATTTATACTTTGGAAAGTCTTAATTACCTATCTGTATGGTACAAATTGTGTTACAAATCTTATTTTTAGTAGTCAAATATTGATAAAATTGACTGTTCGTATTTTGTAAAGCCTCAGCGAGATTAATTAAGGCTGGCAACCACGGTCATGTTTCAATACGTTTAGAATTTCATTATAAGAAACATTTTTTTTATAAAGTTTTCAAGGTATACTGTGTCACTCGTTTGATTCCCGCAAACAACGACACTGTGTGATGTTTCGGGTCTTGGTGGCTTGTGTATGTGATTTGTATGTTTGTAAACACACCTATGACACAGACGAAAATCCTAGAGTTGTGAGTACGAGGCACCGTTTTTAATACAAAAAAAAAACCAAAAATATGTAAAACGATATATAATAATATAATTAAGAATACTCACCAACAGCCCTAGCGTACCCCATCCTCAGCACCAATCCATTGACCCCCGTGTTGGTGAGCTGTTCACAATACTTCTCCATCAGTTGTTTACGTTTCTCCTTAGAAGTCAGCTCGCCGTACTTTAGGTTATCATCGCGCAAATAGGTGTCGAACACCAGAGGTAGCGCGTGTATAGCTTTTTCTCTTATAGCTTGCACTTCGTGGGATAAGCATTCTTCAATGAGATTCAGCCATTCGTCTGAAAGAAGATAAGATTGATAATTAAATTATCCATAATAAAATAAACTAACATGAAACATATTTTCTCAGAACCGGTAGCGGGTTTGATTTCCACACAGAACCATTCTTTGTATCCAGGGTGTGATATGTATATGTATATCTCCTTTTGTCGGTGTCATGCTTACATCTACAAACCAAAAATGAAAATATTACCATATTCATAGTTTGGCCTAATTAATAAGGCCCATATAATGGTACCAGCATTTTATTGTAGGTACCTACAACTAAAAAAACTGGCTTGCAGAACTGGGAAGCACTCTATTCTTTCTGTGAAGCAGTTATGCTCGCAAAGAAGGAGGCGGAGCGCGTGAGAGAGCTATCCTCCTCTCGGGAGATGGCTCGGAAGGGTAGCTCGCCGCCCGACCAAAACTAGACCCGAGTATACGGCGCGTGCGTTCCGCGCGCCTCAAAGAGCCAATAGACCACCATAGACGGGGCCCTATAGGACTGATTTTCAGCCGGGGTTGCGGGGCAAGCGCGATGAGGTACCGCAGCCTCGGCCCAGAGTAGGAGAATAAACGGGGGATTTTTAGTCAGTTTCATTCAGACTCTTCCCAGTTCCTCTCGCTATGAACCATGACCTCGACTTATGCCGGGCGCGAGAGGTCTCCGCCGCCGATCACTTCCACGAGGACACGGCGGCGCTTAGTCGAGGCAGGGCACTCCGCCACCGTATGCTCCACCGTATCCTCTAGGTGGTCCTCTCACAATGGCGACACTTGGGCGTTTCCTCCCGCTGGATCCGAAACAGGAACCTACTGAAACTGCCGTGCCCGGTAAGATCCTGCGTCAGGCGGAAGGTGAGGACGCCGTGGCGTCTCTCAAGCCAAAGAGGGGTCGGTCTTACCGCTGCTATCCTGTCCGACCCTGGGCGGGAGAAGATTTTACCTTCACAAAAAAAAGTCACCCTAGGTTGGCTATCGAGAAGGCTTGTTGCGTGGCATTAAGCACACATATAAAAATAAATGAATGAATATAAAGTAAAATAAATAAATTAATTAATCGTAAATGTTCTATACTTTCATCAAATTACCATGTTGAGTACCATAAGAAGAAAACGATAATACTCATTAAACAAAACAATACGTTACCAATAATAGCATGTCCATGGTACGGCTGGTTAGCCAGAGACAGGGAAGCGATGCAGTGACAGCAGGCCTGCCGCATGAGTTCCCCGCCGAGGCCGCGGAACTGTTGCCGGGCCCGCAGCCCCGCCACCAGGCCCCGCACCGACACACACACTTCCTCCGATATCAGGGAGTCGGCTGTCTTACCTTGGGAAATAGATTTCAATTACAATATATTCTTCGAAATTGAGAACAGAACTTACCTACTGACCCCACCTTTGGCATTCATAAACTATTATTGCTTAGTTTATAAAGATACACAATGTATATAAGATTTCCTCTTTTTCTAAAATAAGAACAATAACAAAGAACCAAATGCAATATATGACTGTATTTTATGGTTTACCACGTGATAGCCCTACATTGGCACGGATAAATCGGCAATCTAGCGTGAAACAACACATGCATTTGTTTGTTGTGGTTCGCCTTGTGAGTGAGGTTCCCGAAAACCCAATCGAAGTGGGGTTATGATTTTGACCCCACTCCCCAACCCCAAACTCCCAATAGCTAAACGGCCACATACTTTAGTGTTAAGAGTGTCTATCAACGTCACTGATTGCGTACCAACAATACGTGAGGGATTCGTAAGCTCGTTTCATCGTTTGTCATCCTTTGCCAAAAAAGTATATTTTATTTTTTAGTAGAAAAAAATGCGAAACCAATTACACACTTTGCATTTACGATTTTTTATCAATGAGTTCAGTTCAGTGAGTTATAGGTCTTAAAGAAAACAATACTTTAAACATATTTACCATTCGGCAACTTAGCTTGAGAGAGAGCATAAATGGATTCGCCGATAGCTAAGATGGCTCCATGCCTAACGTTCAGGTCGATGGATTCAGTCTTTTTTACCAATTTCGGTAACACAACCGTTGCTACGTAATCCGGTATCTGAAATCAAATAACAAAATATATAAACCGTTTATTGAAAAATTGTCTCAGTTGTCTTAATTGGAAGGTTGTAAATAATAATATAATCTTACAAGGTCTCGCATCTTGGATCTTGCAAACGCTCAAAAAACGGTGAACGGTTTGTTTGAAATTATAGAATGCACAATCAACATCAAAATAAAATAAATAAATATTTAAAGAAATAAAATAACTAAACCTACTTAACCTAAGTAGAACGAAACAATGATTAAATAATGAAATGAAGTTGTCACAATTGTCATATTATTGAAAAATTCTAAATTTTTGTATTTATTTTTTTTGGGCACATTTTTGTACATGACCAGTACTTATCATGACAAAACTTCATACTAAAACCATTTTTGATTGTCGATGTTTAAACTTTTTTTTCTTCGACCACGGCCTGTGTAACCGGGTCGAAACGTCAAGTCTACCAAGGTATTTAAATAATAATTTTCCGTGTTAATAATAAAATAAATATATGTTGTTAATATGAAACGCGAAAGTTTAAAAGTTAGTATTACTGCTGTTACTTTCGTTGACGATGTATACAGCCTGCCTATTAGCCAGTAATTGGGATTATAATAACGATAGGTGCTTAAGATTAACATTATCTACCTTATAAGATGTAGCACAAATATGAAATTAAGCACAATATACAAACCTTATCAGTCAACTTATTAAGCGCTTTAGCAGCAATTTCTCTGATTGCACAGTCCCAATGTTCAACCTTCAGTTCCACGAGGTGGTCTATGAGTGGTTGAGTGTACTCGGGGTATGAGGCCACTTGTGGGGCTATCACTAGGTAGGCATTGTTCCTAGGACCTACAGACTGAAAGTCTGCCGTAGTGAGTACGTCGATACCGTGTGGGAACATGCCGTGACGACCTACGTTTTCTTGGTAAGCGGCAGAAGCGGCGCGGCGACAATTTATCTGTGAATAAAGATAAATTGCATTAATATGCCAGCGTGTTGTTATTGTTTATGGCTATTTATACTTGAAACGTTACTTTAAAACAATGTTGTTTATTCCTCGTTGTGTGCAGATTGGGTAGTTTCTTCAGTAAAATAGAAATTATATCAACTGTTGGGATAAATACCCAATTGATATAATTCTGATGATTTAATATCATTAGTTTTCATATTTTTCAGTATCTTTATAGAAATAAGTTTGATACCTTAAAACGCTACAAAATACATATGAATCACCCGTTTCTGATTTTTAAAAAGTATCATACGACTACTTAGAGACTAACCCATTACCCCATAAACGGTATCCACTAAGTTGTTTTTGAGGTTGGATACGAAGGACTTTACGACTTTAGGATTGACGTCTTATTAGTCAAAATACATTAATAACGTATATTTGACACGTCAAAAATGTTACCACATATTTTTTTTAAGATATAAATAAATGATTTACCTCTCTATCAAAACAAGCAGTACTGATGAGTGCAAAAGCCAGGGGGTTTGCATAAGGCGCGAGTGCGGCCGCGTCGTATGCTCGTGCGAAGGCCCAGGCGGCGTGGCAGGCGGAGTCCTGCGCGGCGCGGCCCCCGCCGCCGCCCCCCGCCGCCGCGCGCGCCTCGTCCCGACGCAGGGCACTCACCACGCTGGCTATACCCTGCCCCACTTGCGACGGGGATAGTAAGCCGCGACGAGCTGAAAAGTTATACTATGTCAATACCTACCATTTAAGGTTTCTCTTGTTAAAAATCTGAGTGAAACAACGCTTTTCTGTTTTTCGCGCGTATGTGGTTTCTGGTGGGTTAATCCTCTCCCTCTTTATACTCCTCAATCCTCAAATTTCAAAGCCTTAAAATGCCAGTAACGCACGGCTGTAACTCTTCTGGAGTTGCGAGTAAACGAGGTTATAGAGGATCACCCATTGTATCTGAATTGGAATATAAATGTTATCCTGTCGTACTAAAGGTTTTGTACAATGGAAAGAAAAACATTCTCACTTTACTAGTATACGGAAAAAAACGCCTGTTACTTTCTGTTACCTCAACTTATGACAATTCTACAACACCTTAGTTTATACTATGTAGATGTCTTACAAATAATATATTACCTAGCTCAGCCAAGGCCATACATCCTCCATGCCAAGCGCTCTCTCGTTCGTTTTCGGCAAATAACGAGAGTACACTGTCACAGACGTCGGCGGCCGCGAGCGCCGGGAGCCGCGCCCCGATGCGGCCCACTCCTTTGGCTGCCGACCATCGCACCACTGTGTCATCGTCGCGCAGGGAACATAATAGCAATTCCACTACATCTTCTACCTGTTTGACACGAAATTTACGTATGTACAGTTTAAGCTGATTAATAAGGGTTCCATTGTAGTTCGAAACTAATCGAGCATTCACGAATTAGCATTAGTGAGTGAATTTCGGTGTGTTCATATGTATGTTTTTGAATGGGAATAAGAGTGGAGATAATAAATATTACCAGGTGAAAATTCGTATTAACACATTGTATACTAATAATAAACGTTGAAAGATATAAGTACGTATGGGAGTCACTTGTGCTAGAACAACAATTATAAGTGGTCCATACCTCCTGAGGGATATCTTGGTCATCATCATCAGGTGGAGAAGTGATGGGTTCAGTATCCCCAGCGGCCGCAGCCCCACCGCCGAGAGTTACAGCCAGCGAGCGGGAACCACGAGTGTAACGCCACGATACAACGCGCGGACGGAGGAATGTCAGACCTATAGAAATACAACATAAGATTTCATTTAGCTGCTTGCCACAAAGAAGTGAATTCAGCAATAGTTTTCTTATTAAAAATATGCAATTATTTATTTAAAAAAAAACGAAAACCATGGTTTTTTTTGAAGTTACCCCTCTCTAGATTTTTCTGCTGTGCCGAAAGTATGTTTACAAACATACAAATTACAAAGAATTGTTCCATTCTGGATCGACACGTTGCACATCAGCCTACTGGCTGGCCCAGCCACCAAGCCAAAGAAAGAACCAAAGAATGGCTTCTATACATACCCCTAGGTCAGTTACATGAAATTGGATAGCTAGTATAGCAAATATATTTTTTTTTCTTTCATAATATGAAATAAACAATTTGATTGCAAATCTTTCAGAAAAAAGTAAGATACTTATGGATATTTATAAAATTTACCTATTCTCTGCACGATCTTCACACCATACTTCCTGACCAGCATAGCCTTGTGCTGCTGATAATTCTGGTTGGTGACCCAAGACAGGAGTTTGGGAGCTAGTGGTAGGAGATCATCTCTCTTGCCATGTTTGAGTACAGCTGCAACTGCGGCTAGCACACCATAGTGAATAGTTTCCTCTTCTTGTATATTGGAATGTAGATCACAGGCCCAGTCAAAAAATGCACCCATGTACAGTTCTTTTACATCAGATCTGTAAATATATGAAAATATTGCATACATTATTTTAGCACAATAGCTAGTATGGCACAAAAATGGCTTTTCAATTTCAATTGTTTTCATGTTACTTAGAAACTTAAAATACAATTTAAATATGAGTCAGGATTAAGGATTGAAGTAATACTTATTTCACATGTAAGATGCTGGAAACATGAGTGTTGCTTATAATCCACATTAATTAATCAATAATAAAATAACATACCTTATAAGAAACTTGGAAGCTAAGTAAGCACTGGCTTCGGCACATGAGTCCTTACTCATAGCATAAGTCTTGCAGATATTGAAAATTCTCTCCATTACAGTCAGTTTCTTTGATCCTTCAGCAGTATCTGTCAAAGAAGACCAATGATATGGCTTAAATTCTATAAAACTGATTATATATTGGCTACAACCCAAAAAAAAGATAAGCTATATCAATAGGGATGATAACAGGGTATAATAAAAGAGTCTATGAATATCTTTATGAAACAAATTTATGTGAAGATAAAATTATATATTGATATTTGCATACCTGGTTGTCCAGGTGCGAACCCATCAAGCCGACTCATGTGGAAGGGAATGATCACAACTATAGAGAGCCACAACAACAACACAAATCTACTTCTCCATGTCTCCTTGTCTTTAGGATCCTGAGCCTCCAGAAATGTTAATACTGTTAGAAGATCTGACACCTGAAATTTTCAAATATTTTAATAAAATTATTGATTGCTTCTAAATTAGTAACAATTATGTAACTGTAATATTGGCTAGCCTCTGAACTGACTTCAGTGTCCACGTGCTGCAGCTATATTTATGTTGGATTCAAATAACAAATATATACACAACTATCAACTTTTATTACTAATGCATGTTAAAACTACTTACTAGATGGATTTTGAAAATAGATTTGATGAAAATAGATCAAAGTTTAATATTTACACATAACCCACTATTCATCTAGGTGAAGGAGGTGAATAAAGCTGTTGAAAGAAGCTAGTATTCAGATAAATGGTTGAAATATAAAAACAAATGTGTGATTACATTTATAATACAATATAACAACATTTAACTATGGTTATAAACCATAGTTTTACTGCCATATTACATAGAATAATATTGTCCAGTTACCATTGTTCAGTGCAAATAATTAAGTTTTGACAGGCACATTTTATTCATTTGAATCATTGAGAAGGTAAAAATTTATAAGCTTAGAATAACAAATTACCTCATGTGGAAGATGTCTTATGACAATCTTGTACCCTCTTACTCTGATAATTTGATACATATAGTTAAATGTAGCATGCTTCAACTCAAACGGAGAGTCTTTATCCTTAATAAGGCTCAGAAATTTCGATAACATCTTGTCCAAATGGGGATCAAGTAGATGTGGTTGTTCATAGTATTGCTTCAAAATTGCATACAGTCTATCATACTCTACTTCTAAAGCTGGTGTATTATATATATTTTTCACATTATCAATCATGTTTAACACATCTTCTATCTCTGAAAAGTGCTCTAAAGCACATCCCAATCCAATGTTGTCGCATTCGTCGTCCCGGTTGTGGTCTGTGTCTAGACCAACCATTTTTGAGTATCTCGTTAGGCTGAAAACAATAACAGTCGATGAGTTTCTTAATTAAACCTAGAATCTTATCAAAAAATAGAAACTTCAGGATTACTCACCAATCTCTCAAATAGTAAAATTAAAAAAAAAATATTTTGTTGCGGTACGAATGCTTTTGTTTGAAATGACAATTGACAACTAATTTGACATTTATTTTGACTGATTCACCTATTTTTTGACATTGACGTAAGAGCGTCCACCATAAAACAGGTAGGTACCTATCCAAGAATATTATATAGAACACTGGATGTTGCCCCTAGAAGAAATTATTGAATCCGAGTTTATTCACCTTTCGTATGTTTTTTATCTCGCTCACACTTGAATAAAATGTTGCCATAATAAAATGACTTTTTACCTTGGTAACTGATCATAAATATATTACCAAAAGAGAGGCACACATATTTTATGTTTATTTCGAAATCCAAATATCAGCCTTAAAAATTTAAACAATTTCAAAGTTATTCATAGTTAATTCAGGCTATTTTAAAGTTGTTTTTTTATTAAAATTATTTTTAAGTTTACCCACTTTTAAACTTTTAACGTGGAGTTCAAAACTTGTAACACTGTTGGGGTAGTATTATCCAAAATGGCTACTCTGTCAATTACTTTTCGACTACTCGAAGTGTTTGACTGAAGTATTTCGAGGATTTGTGAATTAATTTAAAGTGCCTTATTATGTATTGCGTAGTCAAAGATTGTATAAGTGTATGGAACCCAACATCAAATGTCATCTTTCACAGGTAAGTCCAGAAATACCATATTTTAAGTTATACATTATCGTTACGTATTTTATGCCAATATTTAAAAAATCTGTAAATATTTACGTTCGAAACGGTGTCACAAATATTTTTCTAGTAATCTTTGTCATCGTTTAGAAATTTATATGCGTAAATCGCATTTAATTATTAAAAAACAGGTACGTTTAGTCTTAGACGTCAAAATTATGTGTTTGTAAACAAAGAGCTAAAGAGTGACCATATTTTTTAAGTTAGGTAGATACTTTTTGATTTGTGGAATGGTTGAATTTTATGTAGGCCTCGTTGCTCTTATAATGAGACTAACGTATTATATCTGAGGGTAAAACAGAAAGGTCTTCAAATTTTAATAATTAAAAGAGTGTCAAAACTAAGTTTAGAGCTGTCCTGCTATTTTGGTCTAATTACAGTAAATTAAATCAGTCAACTCGGTTAATATACAATTAATTTTATGTTTCAGTTTTCCCAAGGACTCGGAAAAAAGGCAGAAATGGTTGTCTGCTATTAAAAGGGAAGTTTTATGAATCAGCAAAGATTTGTAGCTTACACTTTAAGCCGGAGAATTATGATCCATTAAGACCAAAAAGGCTTTTAAATAGTGCTGTTCTGGTTGATTCTGTACAATTATGCTCCTGCGGTAATAACGTTATGGTAAGCATTTTTTACATTTCACAATGTGCTGCTTACCCATCCAACAACCATGTTGAGAATAATATTTCAAATTACAGGCATGTAAAACGCCATTCAAATGCTTGGTTTCACCTAATGCAATGATACCGACAGAAACTGATACTTGTTCCACAATGTCAGGAAAAGAACACAGCTATTGCGAAAAGGACATACACATCATACAAAATGAAAATATTGTAAGTATTTAACTTATTGTCTAGTATTAAGGTATCTTTTTATCCTTTTCAAAATTTGCTGCTTACATACCTAGCAATCATGTTAACAATAATATTTCAAATTACAGGAAAGTACAACGCCATTCAAGTGCTCGGCTTCATCAAATGAAACAATACCAACGCACAACACACACACTGAAAATATTGTAAGTATTTAATTTATTGTGTAGTATTAGCTTGTACTTATGGCATAGAAGTCAAACCAAACCTTCAACATCCAGGTTAGGTGTTTTTTGGTTTTTTCACGATGTAGTAAGCTCATGATAGACATTGAGACCTTTTGATCATCTTAGTTGTTACTGATTATAATCTTTGTTCCACAGGTAGTTAATGAAAATGAACCGCCAGCGAAACGACGCCGCTTAAAAGATTTTAATGTTCAATGTAAAATTAAATTCACTGCGGGAAAAGTGTTTGGAAAAAAAGAAAAAAAATTACAACAAAAAGTTGCGCGAAATGAACAAAAAATAAAAGATTTGAAGTCGTTAGTAAACATTGTTCGTTTTTTTTGTAAAATTTTATGAACTCATACATAGTTCATAAAATTTTACAAAAAAAAATTCGTGACTTTTGTCATCAATTATTAACTACCGAAAATGAAAAAAAAAATGATCATGATTATTTGTTAATATTAATAGACATTCTGCGTTTACGACCTTTGTGCAGCGTTCAAGGTAGTCCGCTACTCAGATAGTTTGTTTAAGCACTCGGTATCCAAAGGTATACTGCTTCACAGCAAAACTAATAATTTGCAATCAAAATTAGTGTTAGCGGTCCTGGAAAAATGTTATCCATTGTTGCAGGAATTATTTGTGCCTAAACATCCAATCACTGATACTTGTATGGATTTACACGAAACTTTTTATTTTTTTTATGTAATCGGTCGGCAAACGAGCAGACGGATTACCTGATGGTAAGCAATCAGCGCAGCCCATGGACAACCGCACCGGAGGAGTTACGAGTGCGTTGCCGACCTTTTAGGGATTTGGGATTTGAAGATTTAGGGATTGAGCGAGGGGAAGGATTGGGCCTCCGGTAACCTCACTCACACGGCGAAACACAACGGTGTGGTTGTTTCACGCTGGTTTTCTGCGAGGCCGTGGTATCACTCCGGTCGAGCCGACCCATTCGTGCCGAAGCATGGCTCTCCCACACTTAAAAATAATAAAATATGTTTCGAAACTGAAATAATAAAATATATTTCGAATAGTTTTTTAAAATAAGAATTCATTCTTATCTGAAAACTTATACTCAAAGGCTTTTGGGTGAGATTCGCACTAAAAGGCAAAAATTGCATAAAACTGTTTTATTTTCACACGTGTGATATAAACTTGTGATTTTTATTAATAAAAATGATTTTGCACTGTACTGACTTTTTTTAAATATCCCCGGTACGGTCTGACGGCAACCTACCAACTATTCACCATCCGCTAGCCCGCGCCTATGGTGGCTGAAAAACGAGATCGGGATCCTATCGTCAACACACATGATCTTACATTCGCCCTCTGTCAATATGTATAGACATTTGTTATTACCTATTTAAATAAAAAGGACTTGATACTAGACTTTAAAACGAGGACTTGAAACTGTTTAAGGAAATTTATTGAATGGTTGATATCGTGTGAGAAGTGATATGGAAGACAGAGGAGTTAGCGATAGCGTGACGAGTGACAGGACAGAATGGAAGAAAAAAACGCATTGCGCCGACCCCAAATAAAACTGGACAAGGGCAGGAAGATGATGATGGTTGATATCGTGGACTGGTAAGGACTTATAAAATCAAATAGGTATTGGCTTTTAGCTGCAAGGAATTTTTAAGCTTAAATGGGAACTTATCAGCTTGACTTGTTTTCAAGGGGTGTTTTTGAAAGAATACCTATCATTATAATTCTTATTGTTTACATACGTAGTATATCTTTTTAATTTGTGTTGCTTACCTGACAATTTTAATATCTTTTCATTTGTATCAAGTTTAATATCTAAAGAAATGATATCTAGATATAGCAGTATTACTGTTAAGTATTAACAGTTGTGTGTATACGTAAGTACTCTTAAGGGTGTATTAAGATAACATGCGCTGCACACGCACAGCATCCGCGCACGCTTTGTGCTCGCCTTAGACCTAAAACATACACAAGCGACGTAAAGCGAAGGCACGGGGCCGGCGCAGCGCAGGCGTTGGACAATTCACAAACATGCGGTAAAAACTCATTAAAACATCTGTTATTCCAAAATCAAAATCGATCTTCGAGGCACCAACCGTTGTTTCCTTATCAGCACAAGAACATAGTTCAAAGCAAAAACCAACAGTTTCTACATTTAAAAAACGTTTCTGGCCATGAAATGTTGACAAATATTTTTTATAATTTTTATGTAATGCCAATAAACATCCTAAGGTACCCTCAACGCATACGGTATGTTGGTGGCATGACGTAGTTTTCTCCATCAACGCAAATGGTGCGTTGGTAGCAACGAATGGGATAAGGAATACATACGACAGACAGACAAACATTTTAGCCATTGTAGTTATCGACTACCAACCCCTGATAGTTATTTTGAAAATATATTTAATGTACAGAATTGACTTCTCTACAGATTTACAATTATATGTATGTATAGATTACTAAACCAAAACTAATACGATCGAAAACCACACTAAAATAGAAATGTTGAATTTAAACAATCATAAATATGTACAAAATATCCTAAAGCTAGTAAAAATAGTTGTCACCCTGATGAAAGAGATGCAAAACATAAATGACGTGTTTCAAGGTCATTTTATTAGTCCTCAGTTCTTTTTTCTTGGTGCAACATCCAGTGTACTATAAAATATTCTTGTACCTATCATATCTAAAGGCACAGAGTGCATTATTTTATAACTGGTAAGGGGTGAGCATCTTTATATAATAGTATGATTAATGAATCATTCCAAGTTTTTATCAATTAATTACAAAGGAATGTTGAAACTAAATAGGCAGAAGCTATGCTATAACTGCAGATATTACACATAATGCGGAAGTTTTTTTTAGTTATCATTTATGAATGTAAGAATAGTAAAGAGAAGTTTAAAAATAAATCATTGCGTACTATTCTATTTCTCAACTTTTCTAAACTTTTGTACCTTATTGAATCTTAAGGCAAATTGGCAACCCCGATCTCAATTTTTTTCTTCCATAATAAAAACCATTTAATTATTAAAAGAACCTTCAATTATTCAATATATCAAATAAATACTTTACACTATATTCGTATAAGCGCATGATTTGAATTTAGTTACTATGTAAATTAATTAAGAACGGCAGATCATGAGTAAGTACAGAACTGCATGAGTTCTTACTTGGTATTTTTTTTCGTTTTAAATGTTTTTGGTTTGCTACTTTGCTATTTTTTCTAATAATGGCAACATTGATTTTAATTTCATGGAGTTAAGAATCTGTATGTTTTGTGTTTCTAAATTCGAGAAAAAATG